GGAATAACATTGAGTAAAACAATTGGGGTATAGTCATCTATATGTTTATCCCCTGCTTGCTTAATATTTCGAATCAACTTATGAAAAATATCAAGGTTTTCCTCAATGTCTTTAGTTTGGTCAAGCCTAAACCTAAAGAATTTTTCAAGCAAAAATAATTTCCCTGGTAAGGAGGTAGCGTGTATAATGATTCCAGTTTATCCAATAGGATCTTAGCAAACTCTAAGATTCCAACTTTCCTAAGAACTGAATCAGAGAGGTTTAAGTAAATGGTGGAATATGCCGTTTCATTCATTTCTAATTGTTTGGGTTTATCCTCAGTATCTAAAAACTTATCAGCCATAGCCCTATACACTTTTTGCTGAATTAGCATACATTTTATTTTCTGTTTCCATATATCAAAATCAGATTTAACATTGCATGGGAGCAAACCCTACATATTGAAAGACATGGTAAACAACGGTTCACAGGATAACTGAACCAAGGGTAATATAGCCCTAGAAGGTTAGGCCACAGACCAAGGGACCACGTAGATTCGGGGCCACTGAAGTGGATGGCAGGGAATCCCCTAACTCTAACCTCAGGTTCCTTAGCCAACTAGGGTTATGATGCCACAATATTACTAGGGATCAGAAACCAACATAGGTAAAAGAACATACTGTAAACAGAAGGGGTCATAGAGAATAAGTGCAAGAGCGGATTAAGAGTTAGAAGAACGGTGCAGAGATGACACTAAGGGTCGAACAAGCAAGAATCACAAAGATGTTAAGAACAAGATACAAATATCAACAGTAATCAGTTCAACAAGCAAATAGTCACAAAGTTGAGCAAATAATCACAAAGATAGGCAAATAATCACAAAGATAATGGTTGACCAAGTTTGATACAGATTGGTACCACCAATGCACAATGAAACATGCCTAGGGTTTTTACAGATCTGTCTAGGCAGATTCTGCACATACAACAATGGCTCTAGGGTTTCTAACCGCTAGATCTCTAAGCTAGGGCTACAGATCTACCCATGCAACACAGAAGCTGGTGGCACTCTGACAGCCCAAGAGTCAAGGTTCAAGCTTTTGTGCCTGAGCGGAAGTCCAGGTGGGACTGTTTGACTTACCAATAAGGAGTAAGCTTCTGAAATCGAGGCGTTACCAGGCGGGGGAGACTTCTGGCGAGATTCCGACGAGAGGAGGCAGCTTCCAAAGCTCTGATACTAGTGTAGAGTTTTAGCACCGACTCAGACCTCAATCACCACAGCCCAAAGGCTTGCTCAGCATTCACCACCAAGGTTACAATCAGGGAAGACGAAGTGCAACAGTCAACTACACTCAACCTCACTCAAAAGGAACCCACCCGAGAAACCCCCCAAACCCACCAGCCAAGAGTGAAGCACCCAAACATATCCTAGGAGACCGTCAGAGGGTGGCCGGAGCACAACCCAAGACAGTTCCACACTCTCTCACTCTAAAACCAGGGCAACACTCAGAACGACTCATCGAAGAGGGAGAATGAAGCAGAAGTAAATAGTGATATCTAGAAGGAACGAGACAATATATCAAAGAGGTCACAAGAGTCATGGACTGGACAAGACAAACAAAGGGCGAGTGGGCTGGTAAGAGCGGACAACCCATCATGGACCAGGCTCATTAAATGTGAATGAGACCAATACCATTCACAACACCGAAATAAAGTGTAAGTCACAAATCTCTTGCACGAAAAGAGGGAAAGTCAACTCGTCGTTTGACTACAATAATCAAGAAGCTGGATGAGAAACTTCACAAATTTCCGAACGTACACAGAATGGTGCTAGTAAAAGTAAGTTGCACTGCACATTGCAAGTGTTGTGCTCATGAAAGAAGACCACATAGATTAACTGTCAGACTGAGTGCATTGGAGAGATACTTTGCATCTTTCAATTTCCCCACTCATCTCCCCTTCTTATCTCTTCTGAATCTGTTCCTAACCCATTTCAAGCTAGCCCATACTATACCCACCCCTCTTTGCACACTTTTTAATAACAGCAATATATATAACAGATATATTGCTAAATGGTAAGAATGTAGTCACATTTTTTTGCTCCAAATGTCAACATTTTAATTTTTGGTATCCATTGTTATTTTTGCATAAATACGGAGTATTCTGTATTTCACTACCACACATTATATGGGTTATCTGCACGACCTTTCTAGCGAAAACAAAATATTAGATTCTGGTTATTTTAGCGCATTTTGGTATGATTAAGCGTCTTACTACACATTAGCATTTGTGTAACTTAAACATCGTTTAAAGTTATTAATTTTTGGTAGTGTTCATTTCTGTTTAATTTTCTCAGTACAATTTTCTCACTGAATTCAAAATTGGCAAAATTCAATAAAACCAAGTTAATATTACTCATAACATTAATTAATTGAAAAGATTCCACTTTTGATCTCGTGACTATTATACCACTTTCACATTTAGTCCTCTACTTTCAGATTGTCCACATTTAGTCCGTGACCATTATCCTCTCACCACCCCTCGTCCTTCCGGCCAAAATTCCGTCAAATTTAATGCAGGTTTTAGGTATGAAAAACCAAATTTAATGAAAAAACTGATATAAAAAACCCAACCTTATATAAAATTTAATGCAAAGGCTGATTTTGAGGCTGATAAGTGGACTAAATTTGCCGGAATTTTGGCCAGAAGGACGAGATGTGGTGAGGGAATAATGGTCACGGACTAAATGTGGACAATTTGAAAGTAAGGGACTAAATGTGGAAATGGTATAATAGTCATGGGACCAAAAATGGAATTTTTTCTTAATTAATTAGTCACAAAATATTATTATATCAAACATGACTTTATTATTGAAGTTTGTTAAATCGGCTGAATTTGTTGGAATTGGTGAAATTCTGACTAAAGTGACTAAATTCGCGGAATGTATTGAATTATGAAAAGAATTATAAATAAAATATATTTTATTGAGAAAAAACTCTATGAAGAAACGGTAAAGTGATTCTATATAAGTAGCTTTCACCAAATCAGCCAAGAAAGTATTTACAGTCTTACTTAATTTTATTATTAAACAATTTAACGCGTGAAAATTAAGTTTCATATCGTCCGATAAGTTGAAAGTAGGGATTATCTATCTTGTATTTCTTATTTTTTTATGAACTAAAGACATAATTATGAAACATCCGTTTTTTTATGATAATTATCAAAATTAGCATTATGTGTGTAAATCTTTTGAAGAAAAAAGAAATTGCTCAAAAATAAAATCCCCAAAAAGTATTACTACGAATAATACTCTGTATAATAAATTAAATGTATTTTCTTTTTGAAATAGAACATACATAATTCTATTAAAAAAATAAAAGAAAAACTTATTAAAAAGGAAATAAAAGTCTATTGATAGAAGAGAGAATAATGACGCTCCGTATTTAAAAAACTACGGAGTTTGATACGGAGTACGTTTCATTGCTTGAAGAATTTTCTCCAAGGAAAAGACCTGCAAAATCATTCGGTGATACGCTGCGAGTCCTAAATTTACAGTTTTAAATGTTACAGTAATAAATTACTGTTATACTTCACACATCCACTCACCTCTTCACATTTCTCAACACAGTTTCTGAAAATTTCTGATACTATCTCTTCTACTTCTGCTCTTCTTCTGATGGCAACATAACTCCTCCTGCCCAACTTTAAGAACTCCCTCAACTTCTGTTCCCTTCTCTGCCCTGCATGTCACCACCTCCCCCATTCTACCTTGCACAAAATTATACTCACTCCGTCATTGAATAAAGGGAAAAGGGGTAAATAAGTCGTCGAACTAATCGAAAAAGTGCAAATCACCCATTTTATTGAAGGTTCTGTTTGCCCGTCATTAATTGAGGTGGTTCCCAATGGAATTTTTTGATGAAATATTTTGAGCATCTTCGTCGTGAAGTCTAGTTTACCCATATCAAATTTCAGCTAAAAATTTAATCGTGAAGGCAGTCAAATAAATGTTTGAAGATAACTTCACAGTTAAACAGCTCGGTATATTTCAGAAAATCGTTTGATTGTCTTCCCGGTTGAATTTTTACGTGGAACTTAGCATGGGTAAACTACATTTAATGAAGAAGATGTTCAAAAAAAATCATCAAAAACTTCCTCCGATAACCGCCCCAAATGGCGACGGTCAGACAGAGCCTCCTATAAAAGAGGTGATTTGCACTTTTCAGTTAGTTCAAGAGTTAATTTGCACCTTTTCCCTTGAATAAAAGCCTTTCTTTTCTTTTCGAGTTGTCTCTAATTATAAGTTCTTTTTCCTTTTTTGGTAAACAAAACAATCCAAAAAAGTGCAAAAAAATGCAAAATCCTATCAAACAATCTCATCCCACTTTCTTAAAATGTGTGACATGAATGAGACCTTTATATTGGGACATAGGGAGTACTTTGTATCAAGAAGCCGGTGGGCGGGCGTATCCCTATTGATAGATAGGAATGCTACAAAGGATAAGTTTCGAGTTCAAATCCCGACCATGATGAGGGGTACTATGTAAAAAATGCATAATATATCTGTAAGTCTTGCATGAGAGCCGCACTCGCTATCATTCACCTTGTAAGTAAAGTCTAATTTACCTCCTTCCATTTAACTGTCCAACTGGTGCCGTAGTTCTCAACAATAAGGTGTCATCCTTTTTTAAAATTATATCAAGAAAAAAATTCCATAGGGTAGTTTTGGTATTCACAAAAAGGCATAATTTTCCTTATAAATAATGCATAGTTAGATTACTAAACCAACCAATTAAACAGCACTAACTTCATATGTGTGTAAGTTCGTGATATTTTTATAGAACCCCAAAATATTGCAATGCTCAAAATTAAAGTGGCATGGTGGTAGCATTTAATTGAATAAAAACAAAAAGTTTATTAAAGATGGAACTTATTTTAATGTTATAGACAATCATGTCCCTTCTCCCATGCCCACCTTTCTTGCTATAAAGCACAAGAAGTCTGTCTCCCAGGAATGGAATAGACACAAACAAAAAATGGAAAACCAAAACCAAACAGGAGAAGGAGAAGATGCAACAAGATCATTCCCTTGCTTATACTGTTCTAGAAAGTTCCACAGCTCACAAGCTTTGGGTGGCCATCAAAATGCACACAAGAAGGAGAGAAGTGCAGCAAGAAAGACCAAAAGGTCAAACTCCCAAGAATATGCCTTCCTCAACTCCCTCTCTTCTTTCCCTCAAACTTCACTGGTTTTTTCTCCCAACCAGCATCCCCTGGGCCTCTACATATCAGCACATTCAGCCACCATGTGCCAGTACCCGGGCCGGTTCGGGCTCGGTGGCAGCGTCCCGCGGGTTGAGCCCCACTACCGCGGGAACTGCTTGAATAGCAACCCTTACTTGTATGAAGAAGCTGAGGATCATCAGAGCTTTAGGAGTTGGGAGAAGATTCAGCAAAGATGCAGCAGCACTAATCATAATGATGGGTTTAAGAGTGTGTTAGATGTTAATCATCATAACCATAATAATACTAATTATGGTATTAAGGGTGATGATGGATTTGGAGATTGTAAGAGTCAAACGCTTGATTTGTCTCTCCATTTATAGACCGACAACAAAGATATCCAGAGCTAGCTAGTTTGTAGTAGTTGAGTGTTCTTTCTTGGTCGATTTTTGTTCACTACTTCATCACCTGTTACATTTTTCCAATAAAACATTGTGCGAGGCTGATAAATTCACTATTTGGTATTTCTGCGCTAGATAAAATATTTCACTTTAGTTATGAACGTTGTTCTAAATATTGCTCTGCAAATGCTGTGGACGATTGATTAGTGGATCTCTCTAGTTTTAACTGTATAACTTTTATAAACTTTGCATTTCAGTTTTTTATGATTTTGAAATAAACTGTCCCAATTGCAAATCGACATATTAAAATATTGGAAACATTGCAAATAACAGTCCCAACCATTGTCACCTCGACCTTAATAATCCCAACTATCGCTTATTAATCTCAATTATAAACTCTAAATTTATCGAAAAATATAGAAATATTTTTCTAAGTTTCCAAACTAAATATTTTTAACATGAAAAAATAAATTCAAAAATTCTACAAATGTACCGAACATAAATATAAAATAATAAGTCGTTTTTTATTGAATTTCACTATTTTTGCGTTTTTGTTTTTCACAATTGTGTTACCGATATATGATTTTATTTTGTATTATTTTCCTTTATTCAAATTTACACTTCTATCTTCAAAAACTAAATTGTGATTAAAATTTTTACAATTTAGATACTTATTCTAGCTTAATCTAAATATCTAAATTTTCTATTTATTTCGTTTTAGTATTTTTAATCTCTACCAATATAAATATGTGATTAACTTGAAATGACAATGGAAAATGTTTACCAAAATTCCACACTTTTCTACCAGAATAGTTGGGATTTTTAAAACCATTGTGATACACGTTTTCTACATTTTTTACAATTTCCATTTTATCACTTAAAATTGTGAAGACTATTTTATTGTGAATCAAGTTTGTTTGTTTTGTCTGTAATAGTTTAGATGTTTACTATTTCTGTTCTGCACTGATTAAATATATCTGTTAGAATAGTATTCAATATGGGATAAGTGTTAGGCCCATACTTAGGCGAGAAGCCTTTTTACGCATACCTGAGCCTCGCCTATAAAAGAGGGCGGAGGACTCAGGTTTGCGATTAACTTTCGTATCTGCTCAAAATAGCCTTAGCGCTTATCATTCTTGTACGAACTGTTCACGGTATATCAGAGAAGGTTTACCTTGATCTTTCTGTGTTCATCTTTGTTGATAATCTTTCATCTGTATGCCATATTATCTTGCTGTTATAGAAAACATGGACTAACAAATGGTATCAGAGCCGATCGAGAGCTGATCAGAAGAACTATCTGCGAAAGACTCTGTTTTTCCTTCCTTTTTGTAGAATAGCGAGTTTATCATCTGTAATCTTTTTTCTGCACCAAATACTGTAAAAGTTATACTGTTAGAATCGCGTTTCAAAGACGATCAAGCAGTATATCTTCTTTTTTCGTTTCCGCATATTTTTGTTCTCTGTAAACTCGCATCCAAGAACTCGCATCCCTCGTTTCTCTAAGCTTTGTGCAGCTTTTTGACCTGAAACTTGGGTGAAAGGATCTCTACAACAAGGGCTACAACCTACCATTTTTGTTTTTCTGAAAATCTGAAGTTTTATTTTTTCAGGAATTCGCAGCCCAGGTGTTATCGCATAAACTCGCAGCTGCAAACTCGAGTTGAGAAACTCGCTGTTAGGAACTCGAGCTCAAGAACTCGCAGTTTACAAACTCGCAGTCTACAAACTCGCAGTCTACAAACTCGCAGTCTGCAAACTCGCAGTCTGACCACGAGTTTTGACCTTGTGACGTGCACTCGTCGTTAGGTGCACTCAAAATAATTAATCAATACGACACTAATACGTAGTATAGTGTAGTAAGGTTCGTATCCACAGGGAAAGGAATATTTTTCTTTTATATAAATAGTAACAAAAGGGGGTTTAGATTTGTTTGCTTTAATAACACTAAGATAAACAACCTATATGAGTTTAATTCAATGAGATGGGGACTTGGTTTTGCTTTTATCCACTTAATGAAATGTTCGTCGATCCCGGTTATATCTTTAACTATCTTGCTCTCGAATACTCAATCGAGGAGTATATCCAGTTCATCGAGGGTAGTTATTAATAACGAGATGCGTTCATTAATAAAACTTACTATCGAGTCAATATAGAACAAGCGCCGTATATTAACTTGATAGTAGCAATAAACTTAAGATGAAAACGATTGAGATTGATAACCTCAACACAAGCGGTTTATTGGTTTAATCAATATAATTAATTCCCCTTGGCATATTAACCATGAGATGCATGCATTAATATTCCAAGTTTACTACCATTGAAAGAACCATATTAATAACAAGCGTATTAACCAATTGATTCTAGTAATAATTAATATGAGAAACAATACTAGTTGATACTTTAAGTAATGTTTAAGATATTAACATGAAATATGAATAGGAATTAATTAATACTCAAGGAAGAATATTAAAATATATGAATCCTACAATGATTAATATCAAGATGTTAACTAATTGTCATCTTAGTAACACTCCCCAATATTATCATAGAGGAAGAAATAGCTATTACTATAACCAATGTCAAGATGTTAACTAATTGTCATCTTAGTAACACTCCCCAACTTTGATATAGAGATAGTATTTTGAAAGAAAGAATTAATATTCAAGGAAGAAGATCAAAGAAAATAACTCACAACTTACAAATTCATTAAGCTTCAAAGTAGCAAAACCAAGATGGAAGAGTTTAGCTCCTCATTTGGAGACTAAACATGATGAAAAATATAAAGAAATAACTATTCTATACTGAGCTTAGATGTACAAAGGATTGAATATCTTTTTGTGAAGGAAAGGAGGTGTATTTATAGGTTTTTGGGATGGGGTTCGGGTACTCGATCGGGTATATACATGGTACCCGATCGAGTACGTGTGTAACACTCGATCCGAGGCATACTCGACCGGTTTCAGGCTATTTTCTAAGTGTATACCCGATCGAGTATATATGAATACCCGGTCGAGTATGCTTAGAAAGTGGTATTCGGGCTATACTCGACCGATCTTCGTTTGCAATTCAAAGGCATACCCGATCGGGTATGTCGGTCTACCCGATCGGGTATAGACATAAAATCGTGGCCAAAATCTTCCCTGCATGTTCCCTTGTCTTCGGATCTGATCCGATTTGAAGTTCCAACCTAATACCCGATCGAGTATAGCTAATACTCGACCGAGTATAGACAAAATTCAGGATCTTATTTTGTCTTTGAACTTTTGCACCTTCTCTTCACTTTTTGGGTTCACCAACTGTACTTTGAGTGACCAAAACCTGCTTAAGCTCAGAATATATCTAATCTAACCTATTTACAAGAATTTGACAATCTAATCTATTACACCAAAAGTGTGTAATTTCCAAAGTAAAAGTCAAGCAAAACTAATTAAAAACATAAACATAGATATGGAAATTACGAACGTATCAACTCCGCCACACATAAACCTTTACTCGTCTCGAGTAAGATCAAATGTTTCAAGTGTCAATGTTTTGTCCAAAAGTTCCACAGTTTAACAAAAACACAATACAAACACAAATACCACCAAGGATTACAAAGAAAAATGAGTTTTAAACTCAAATTACAAAAGAGCATCTTGGGTTTAATGGCCTCCTAGTATTGTCTTCTTTTCTCCTCCTCTCTTCTTCTTTATCTTGAATCTTCATATTCTTCATAAGGATACAATGAGTGCCTGCAAGAACAAACATTTCTCTCATATCTCTCATTTTGCCTAGGAGCCTTTTCAGGTTTTCATCCTAGCACCTCTTTTCATTTTCCATTCTCTCCAACTCACTCATTTTTTTATAAGCCTTTTTTGCTTAGATTGCCCATTTTGTTGGGTTTTCAACCTAACTAGCATTTATGTTCTTTTGTTTATTTTCTCTTTATTTTTTTTTTGTTTTTTTTTGTGTGTAAAAGTTCAAAACAATTACATGCATAGTGCTAGGTAGAAATGAAAATTACATACCATCATGAGTGTCTCCCCCGCACTTGAATCAAGCACTGTCCCTAGTGCCCGCCTTCTCCTCCGTAGTAGCTCCCTCCAAAGCCGCTCCCTTGGCCACCATCTCCCATGTAGGTGTCCCCGCCATCTCCGTCGTCGTACCCTCCACCTCCGGAGTCTGATCCTCCAAAGTTACCCCAATGAGTGGGGTCATACCATGAGGGTGGTGGAGGAGGGTTCGCCATGGTATGGAAGGATCCCTGCTGTGCCATAAAAGAGTACATAGGCCCGTAGAACCTATGTTGGTCTTCCTCATACCGATGTCTATCGGCCTCCCGGAGCTCCTCCAAACGTTGAAAGCCGGCCCTTTGCTCATCTTCCAATCTTTGAAAACCGGCTCTTTGCTCCTCCTCTAATCGGTTGAGCCGGTTGTCCATTTGGGTTATTCCCGAAAGAAGTTGTTGTTGACCCTCCAGAAGTTGTTGAAAGAAGTCGGGTGGTGGAGGGTTTTGGTTCTGTTCTGGGAAGTCCTGGCTCATGGTTAGATGGCTATGGAGTTGCTCATAGGGCTCGTAATCTGCTTGGTTTTGGGGAGGTTCCTGTTCCGGTTCCTGGAGATGTGGTGGGAGGGCGTTTGGGAAGAGGTAATGTTGGTCCGATCTTCCTATTTTGAATTGGAGTTGGGGGAGTTCTGGGTTGGGCAAGAGGAAGTATTTGAGGGGTTTGGGGTGGATGTGCCAGTTGTACATATTTCTGGGCCTTTCTTCACCATAAACGGTGTGTGAAAAAGATGTACAGCCCGAGTGGCCCAGCCAAGATATGTTCATCAAACAGTAGTCGGGTATAGGGGAGTCATCCGTATACCCGAACTTTGTGGCCAAGTGCATAATTACCCCGCCCACTACAATAGCACCATTTGCCACGCTCTCTTTTTTTAGATGTGCCCACATGAGATTACAAAGGTTGAAATCCACGTGGATGCGGAATAAGGCTACCGAGATGAGGCATACATCCCCCATCCTTGTATGATGGTTGTTGGGACGTCCAAGCAAGGAGTTGGCTAGGAATTTCAAAAAGAGGCGTAGGACGGGATGTTGGACATGACTAATGTAGAGTTGGGAGGAGCTAAATTTAGTCTCCCCGGT